CCCCCCCGACGCAGCCTCAGTGAAAACAGAGGAGCTGCAAACACCTGACAGCAGAAACGTGCAGTCAGGGACTACGAGCACGCTTTTATTCGTTTACACTTGAAGGCAGACGCGTCTGATACCGTGCAGCTGCGTCACCGGCCACTGGGGGTGTGTGTGTGTGTGGGGGGGGTGGTGTTGAGGCATTTGGCCCGCGCTCCTCTGCAGCGTGGAGTTGTCCGGCAGGGCTCGGGCTCTTGTCCTTTCCACGCGTCCGTTCGAAAAACTTGTGCGTCCAATCCCCGTGTTGGCTCCTCCCTCTCCTCCCTCTCCTCCCTCTCCTCCCTCTCCGCCTCCTGCTCCCACATGTAACGTTATCTCTCCCCCCCCCTTCTCTCTCTCTTTCTCTCTCTCTCTGGTGGTTGCATTGTCTCATTGGGACGCAGCGCACGGGTCCGGCTGCGCTGCGCCTGGAGCGGACCGGTGGAGTGACAGGAAAAACGGGGAGACCGAGCAGCGGGCTGTTACGATCCGTGACCCGTTGACGCTTCCCCCAGCCTGAGCCCGGATTCGCGAATCCCCAGCTGCACGGTCCTGGTGGACGGAGAGGGGGGGGGGGCGATGCCGACAGCCCTCGTCCGGAGTTGCGTTGCGTCCGCCTGACGCCGGAGCCTATAAGCCCGTACGGAACCTTCTCCGTAGGTCGTAGGCTATACGGTGACTGGCGGGGGGGGGGGTGTGCGCCCCCGGCCGGGATGGCAGCCCGCCGCGGCGGCGGGAGCGCGCTGTGGTCCGGCACCGAGCGCGTCCGCGTCGCGGAGCGCCTCAAAGCGACGATGGCCGGCGTGCTGGAGCTGGAGGTGCTCAGGTGCAAACACCTGGAGATGGTCGACGGCGCCTTGGCGGACGGAACTTGCGCGATCGCTCACGCCGAGGACCCCCGGGCGGCGGAGGAGGAGGAGGAAGAGGAGGAGGAGGAGGAGGAAGAGGAGGGCAGCGGGACCCCCGAGAGCGCCTCTTCCAACGCGGAGCGCAGCTCTGCGACATGCCGCGGGCAACAGGTCAGTCAGATGGAGCCCTGCACGGCATGGTTCTTACATTTGGATGCGGGTGGATGGGGATCTGCCAACAAGCCGGTCCCTCCGGGTCCGGGCGGGCAGATTTGATCGCTGCCTGGTGGCGCATGGCTGTGCCTCGAGCTGAATGCCCACAAGACTGAGATGGTGCCAGAGACCATCCAAGCATGCGGCCCGATTATTATATTCAGCTGCAGTCACGTGGAACAAATGTCATTTGGGTCAGGGGACCAGGGCCAGCTACTGTCTGCCTCAAGGTTATGGAAACTCAAATCAGGTGGAAGTATTAATACACCAAACAGAAACCAGATACTGCTAGGCTACATTATTTTCTCCCTAGCCAATAAAGCCCCTCTGCTCAAAAGGTCCCTGCAACATATTGTTTGTATTTGTGGTGCCAATGGAAAGGTCCGGTTGGTCACCATCTGAACATAGATCCCATTTCTCGACCTACTTGATCTCACCCTGTCTTTACACACACATTTAAAAAGCAACCCACTTCCCAAACTTTGATCTGAAATTGATACAAAGGTCTTTTTGTTCCAGGCATGAGGGGAATGTGGGCTGACATGTAATACAGGAGGACAGGATGTGTCCTGGTCTCATCACGAGGCCGATCCATCATTGCTCTAGATAGAATGAATCTGAAGCTGTGCAGTCCTCACGGTGTGAAACCAGCTAAAAATGAGGGGATAAAGGTATCTGTAGGAGCACCAGTATGGAAGGAACAAATATAGTCCCGAGAACATTTCCACTGGGTGACGGCTGGATAAAATCTGCATGTATCTGCATTCACATCTCAATTCCAACTTCTTAAATATGAAGACTTGGACAGTTTATTATCAAGCAAAATCTATAACAGACTGTTTTATGTAGCAAATAAGTAGCTTGAAGGTGTCTATATCTGAGATGTAAAATCCTTTCTGCTGGATTAATTATTTTAATGAGATTATCTTCATCAGCAAAATAGCTCATTATGACCAAAACCTGTCAAAGATTTCCTCCCTTGTATATTTATTGATTGCACACGATTTAGAAATATGTTTGATCCTTTCTGTGTGAAATCAGACCCTAATGGATTACTCCGGTGATGGCACTGAGAGCAATCGTGTTTTCAAGCTTCAAATGCCGGAAATGTTCTGGTTTCAGTTTAGGCAATTTAATCAGTATGCAAAACAAACACCTGATGCAGGTTGAGAAAAAACCCTACTGGCCCTTTCAGGTTTTATGGAACATTTTCCAGCCTTGGTTTTGTCAAAAATAACACAATCTATTGCTGGACCAATCCTTACAGGCCAGTGCTGTGTCTAGGAGGTTTGTATTCAGGCACAAAACAAACCCTGAATTAACATTTGCTGCTATTATAAGAAAGCAACAAATACTTAATCAAGATTGCAACGAACAAACTGTTACTGTTAAACTGTGAATATGTGTTTCCATTACCAGTGGGTTGCCTTAGTCAGCAGCCTGCGGCGTATTCACACACACACACACACACACACACACACACACACACACACACAGAT